AAAAAAAAAAAAAAAAAACACATTTTAGTAAAACCAATACCTTCTCAGCTTCGCATCGAAGCAAAAAGTGAAAAAATTTCGAAAATTAGCGATTTTTAAATTTGTAATTTTTGACGCGTGGGTAAAGACGCAACGGTTACCGTTCGTCATCTACGCCGATTTTGAGGCCTTACTGGAGAAAACAGACGATCGTATAGGTACCTATACTAGGACTGTGCACATCCACCATCCTCGAACGCTACGGTATACCACAATCACCGGAGATATACCGTGGGTCCGAGGATCGCGAAGAGGTCGCCAAGGCATTTGTGATGGCTGTAACTGAAGTTACGCGCAACATTTCTAAATTGTTGCGCAAAACCAACGTTCCCATCCGAATGTCTGTCGATGATGTGCGCAGGCACGGGGAGAAAGTGGTATGTGACTTGTGTCGCATGGCATTCAAGAATTCTAACCCCAAAGTCGCAGACCACTACCATTTATCGGGCCGATTCAGACAGACGTTGTGCATTGCATGTAACCTAAAAGTGAAGACGGTCAATTTTGTGCCGTGCTTCTTGCACAATCTTTCAGATTACGACGCGCATTTTATAGTCACTGAATTGGGGTACGACGATCAAAGGATTTCGGTCATACCGAATTCCGAGGAGAAGTATATTTCGGTCACGAAACACGCGACCAATAACTTCTCCATTCGGTTGGTCGACACCTTCCGGTTCTTGGCCTCTNCGAATTCCGAGGAGAAGTATATTTCGGTCACGAAACACGCGACCAATAACTTCTCCATTCGGTTGGTCGACACCTTCCGGTTCATGGCCTCTTCCCTGTCCACCTTGTCCGGTAACCTAATGACGCCCGACTTCGTTAAATTCCGGGATNAACCTAATGACGCCCGACTTTGTTAAATTCCGGGAGACGGCCAAGGTGTTCCGCCCGGAAGACATGCCGTTGGTGACGCGTAAGGGCGTATACCCCTACGAGTACACTGATAGTTGGGCTAAATTGGACGAAACGGAACTACCACCTCAGGAGAACTTCCGCGACATCTGTACTTCAACATACAATTTGGACCCGGCGCACTATTACACCGCGACCGGTTTTAGCTTCGATTGTATGTTGAAGTACACTGGGATGAAGCTGGAGCTTTTGAACGACTACGACATGCTACTGATGGTGGAACAGGATATTCGTGGTGGGCTAGTGCAAGCCGTCAAGCACTATGTAAAGGCCAGNGGCCGTCAAGCACTATGCAAAGGCCAACAATTCTAAGACACCCGATTACGATCCGTCAAAACCAGAATCATGGATCGTGTACCAAGACTGTAAGTAATCTATACGTGCATATATAAACGCGCAATAATTGAGCGGTGGTTTAATAACGTTTAATGTATACAGGCAATAACCTTTACGGGTGGGCTATGAGTCAGCCCATGCCGTACGGTGGCTTCCGGTGGTATAAAGGAGCAGACCCTCTGGCTGACCTCCAATCGTTGTCGGACACTGGTAATACGGGGCGTATATATGAAGTGAACGTATCGTATCCACAAGAGCTGCAGGACGAGCACACNGGGCGTATATATGAAGTGGACGTATCGTATCCACAAGAGCTGCATGACGAGCACAACGACTTGCCGTTCTTGCCTGTCAACGATGTACCGCCGGGTTCCAAAGAGACCAAACTCATGGCCACTTTGAAACCCAAACAGCGGTACGTCGTACACTATGTCAACTTAAAACAGGCAATCGCACACGGACTGCAAGTCGATAAAGTATGTATAATTAGCTTATAAACTATAAGCGATGATACTAATATAAATATTTGTACTGCAGGTGCACCGCGTTTTAGAGTTTCAACAAAGTGCTTGGTTGAAACCATACATTGAGTTGAACACTGAAATGCGGAAAAAGGCGGCAAATGCTTTTGAAATTGCATTTTTCAAACTAATGAACAATGCCGTCTTTGGTAAGTGCATGCTCAATGCTAAAGTGGGTTATTCGATAATTTTTTACATTTTATAGGGAAAACAATGGAGAACATGCGGAAACGCATACGCATTGAGCTAATCTCCAGTCCCGAACGTCTAAGCAAGCTCGTAAACCAATCAACCTTCAACGACTGTATCAAATACGGTGAAAGGTTGTGCGCCGTCATAATGGACACAAAGATGGTCAAGATTATCAAACCTATATACGTCGGTTTAGCAGTGCTTGACATTAGCAAGACGCTAATGTACAAGTACTTCTACGACATATTAAAACCACATTATGGCAGTGCAATCGAATTGGTTTACATGGATACAGGTGAGTACAACAGTACAGTAGAAATATTTTTTTACAATATTTATATATTTTTAATTTTTCTCAGACTCCTTCATATACCTGCTCAGAGTAGGCGACTTCTACCAGGATTTAGCTGATAGCCCCGATTTACTGGTGCACGTGGACGCATCTAGCCTGCCCAAAGATCACCCTTGCTACTCCACCGATAGAAAGAAAATGCCCGGCTTGTTTTCAGACGAGACCAGTGGCCTCATCCTCTTTGAGATCGCTGCACTTCGATCAAAGTGCTACGCATTTGACATGGAAGACAGCGAACTCATAAAGTCTAAGGGGATCCGCGGACACGTCGTCCGGAACCATCTGTCTTTGGACGATTACAAACGGTGTTTGTTTAAAGACGATGGTGATGGTGACGATGCATCAAAACGAGCATTGGCTGAAGAGAATGCCCGTGCGGTCATCGGAGTGATACGCGGTGGTGAATCTCCACCGACATTATCGTTAATGTGTCAATCCGTTCTTTTGAGCACGAGGTACGCACTTTACATACAACCAAGTTGACGCTTAACCGATTCGATGATAAGCGCTACACGCTCGACACGTTGGCACACGGGCATTATGTTATACCACCACCGGAAGACCTATAGTTTTTAAGTTATTATCATTGTAAAAAAAAAATATCGTCAAGAATTGAAAATATTTTTTGTAAATATACATGTATATTTAGTAAGTAGTTTTAAAACATTTTTTTTAATTGAAATTGCATTTTTTCTAAAAAAATATATGTATATACGTGTACATATCTGTAAATATATATATACTACAACGTTTTTTTCTCTTCTGTACAGTACAATAGTTGTACGTGTAAGTATGCCATAGTATTTAAGCTACAGTTACGTAATGAGATGTCACATTTTGATGGTAAGGTATAAAGTATTATCCACCAAGACTCTAAGAATACCCTATGGTATTTTACATGCATATGATATTTTACAGCTAGGTTTTTGACCATGNATGAGATGTCACATTTTAATGGTAAAGTATTATTCACCAAAACTCTAAGAATACCCTACTGTATTTTACATGTATCATACAGCTAGGTTTTTGACCATGTTTTAACCTTTCTGAAGAAGAAAAATGATTTGAGTTTTATAGAAACATAGTTTTTTTCATATGATAGAAATAAAATCCTAGCTAATAATCATTATTTTAAACATTATTCTTTAAACATATTTGTATCCATTATAATTTTAATTACAAGTTACGTTGAAAACGCGATTTTCACAATGTCTCAGTATATAATAATAATAGCACATGTCAATGCAACATACGTTTATTTTAAACTATTTTTTTTTTATAAATTATATACATGTTTTAGATACTTGTCGTTTTACGACGGATAGCTATTACTAACAACTACTGTTGGTATTTATTGGCTGTTTGTACTTGATGGTATGATTGTTTCCGACTGTATAATTGCATCTGTTATATCATCGGCCAGCGACCCAAAAAATGTCGAGCATACGTTTTCTCCGTTAGAAGACTGAAAAAATGAAATATATTTATTAAAAAATGTTCTACTCAGTTAGAAAAAAAAAAAATGTAATTCACCATTTCTTTAGTATATTCTTCCAGCATCGTCCACCGTTGTTCCAACTGCTGGCTCGCAAATTGTTTTATTTGGCTTATGTAGCTCAGATCGCTATTGGGTAAACTATTTCTAATCGTATAATCCGAAACCGCATTGATCAACATACATTTGTTTTCCACATTTACTTCATACTGAGATTTCATATATTGAGCCATCTGTTCCAACTGTTGTAGAACCAATGGTTGAATTACAGTCATCTTTTGATTGATAGCCTCAAAGATACAACATTCTAAAGCGCTGAGTTTTAAAATGTCTGATTGGGTGAGTAACACTCGGCATTCATCTTGTGCTTGCGATTCAAAGACTAGCGAAGACTCTCCTTGAAACGTAGTCTTTGAGAGTGTGACGTATTCATCCTTGAGTAAAATAATCTTTTGTCTTGATACAGGGTCGAAAATTAGCGACAGAATATTACCCATCAACGTATAAATCCGNATTTCTAATCGTATAATCCGAAACCGCATTGATCAACATACATTTGTTTTCCACATTTACTTCATACTGAGATTTCATATATTGAGCCATCTGTTCCAACTGTTGTAGAACCAATGGTTGAATTACAGTCATCTTTTGATTGATAGCCTCAAAGATACAACATTCTAAAGCGCTGAGTTTTAAAATGTCTGATCGGGTGAGTAACACTCAACATTCATCTTGTNAACACTCGGCATTCATCTTGTGCTTGCGATTCAAAGACTATCGAAGACTCTCCTTGAAACGTAGTCTTTGAGAGTGTAACGTATTCATCCTTGAGTGAAATAATCCTTTGTCTTGATACCGGGTCGAGAATTAGGGACAGAATATTACTCATCAACGTATAAATCCGTTGTAGGAAATCTATCGTTATAAGTATGTAACGGGTTAACGATAGTAAACGAATAGTTACGTTAAATCGATCTTTTGGATCCATTCCTATCTGAACGAATTTACGAGGATTGAAATTCAAAACGTAATCAGTGCAATCGATTAATTCACTGTGAGGTTTGGGTTTAACAAATGTTTGTTTGTTATAGAATTTAACAATTGTAACGAGAGAACCAACCATTCTTAAAGCATACAAATATCGACTTAAGTTAACACATTACCAACAAGTTAAAGCAACGTCTGTTTATATAGAAAATCTTATAACGATTATAGCACTATGCATACACCACTGTNCGACTTAAGTTAACACATTACCAACAAGTTAAAGCAACGTCTGTTTATATAGAAAATCTTATAACGATTATAGCACTATGCATCCACCACTGTGAAATTATTANGAAATTATTAACTAATTTAAACCCAATAACAATTAATAGTCTAATTATTACCGATAGATAAGGTACAAACAGTTGTAAACACAGGCAGACAGGGTTAAAACAGGATGAGCAGGGATTTGAACGCGTTCAGACAGGTTTTAACATGTTCAGACTTGTTTAATCGAGATTATACGAATCCAGGATGCATTGTTCGGTAAACCGCCACAATGTCCCTACTACTTTTATAAACAGCCTACTACATACCATACATAGTACAACGTGCTACAAATGCCATAGCATATACTAAATTTGCTGTATATATTTAATGTGTAAAACTCTTCTTTGTACTGCTTAGTACTTCAAACTTATATTAAATAGTGTAGATAAATACGACAAAATTTTATAAAATAAAAATATTATATTTTATTGAATTTTAAATCTTACAAGTTTATGATAATAAGTTTTTTTTTTTTATTTTATATAAATTAAATTTAAAAAACAAGGAAAAATATTAACAAATTACTGAAAATCAAACAAATATGCATTTCCACTTTTGCCTCTATAAAATAAATGTAATTTGTTATCATTATTGTTGATATTATAAGCTTCGATTTCTTCATTAGTTAATTTCAATCTCGGGATAAACACATTCATACTGTTGAATAGATAACCACATTTCGTGTGCTTGTATTTTTCATACATATGACTTTGTATGGCGAGTGTTCCTCCAGATCACTTAATTTTGAATATCTTTTTAATGTACTCTGATCGTTCAACTGTTTCTTTAATTGCTCCATTCTAAAGTAAAAAATTAATAAAGTTTTAAACAACTCTAAACATAACTAGTAACCAAAGTCAGGAGAAAACAGTTTAAATGAAAAATATATATAAATGTATTACTTACTTTATTTTATATCAAAAGACAACAAGTCATAGAAATTCTTCGGGACAACAAATAGAAATAATCAGACAAATGGTTTTTGGTATAATCGCTTTAGACAGATAATGAGTGAATGTGTCTGAAATTGATGTAACGTTCTATTATAGGGGTCAAAGATCTTGTTTAGACATGTTTGGGTTGGTTTAAACAGGTTCATTACTACACAAACGATGTCGGAAATATGCTTACCTAAGCGTCTGGCATCCGATGATAAGATGCATACGACAATAACCATTACTGTACGGTGACCTCTTTGATGTTTGAAATATGCTGACGTAAGCGTCTGGTAAACGATGATAGCAATAGTTCTCATAAAATGCTGACGCCAATGAGCATTTTAATATAGTAATACCCTTGTTGTTGGAAAAATGCTTACCTAAGCGTCTGGTTACCCATGATAAAATTCTTAGAAATTATAATGCCATAACGACAGACGTTGTCTTTGTTCTTATAAAATGTAGACGGTAATTAGCGTTATACTATGGCGGTACCTTTGATGTTTGAAATATGCTTAGCTATGCGTCTGGTAGCCAATGATAAAATTTTTAGAAATTATTTATTATATACAAACTATAGATGTGCGGCAAATTAGTTTACGTTTTGTTTCATCCCCCTCCCACCCCATTACAGGTTAGTTTATGTCAAGATTCATTACCCCCTTCCTATGTAGGAATTTTTGACGGACACCCCTGTAGCGTTAATATTAAGTAATTGACTTAGTCTATTTCAATGTAATGTGTACGTTTATCAGTGAACGTTATCAGTTCACATGAGGTTTACCTTAACCTCCAGTAGATGAGATCGTAGGAGGAGAACAACCATTTTCGAATGGCTACCTCCCCCACCGCCGACAGGAAGTTATAGGGCGCATGCGCACTTTAAACCGCCAATTTGATTGAACTTAACACCCTCCCCCCCATCGTGAAACTACGCCACCCCTTACCCATCTATGTTAAGACCACGCCTCCCTTACCCCCACCAACTTAAAGTCATGCCCTCTCCTTACCCCCACCCTCATAAGACCACTCCTCCCTTACCACAACCATCGAAAGACAATGCCCAATGTGTCCTTGACCACGGTCATTACTCCCACCATTGAGAGACCATGCCCTCTGTATGACACGCCCCTCCCCACAGACCACGCCCACCAAACTTACTTCAGTATCGTGAGGGGGTGAGGCGGGGGCCTAGGATCCCCAATATTTCCCTACTTATATTGTTTCAAAAGTCGATGTCTTAACAGATGTGTCTATAACATTAAAAATTGAAAATTAGAATATGTGGAAATTTGTATGTGTCATTATCGATACAAAGTGAATAATTTGAAAAATTCGATATTTGAAGGTAGTCTAAACCGGTAAAGGATGAAAATTGACTAAATTATAATTTAACAATAACAATATTCAGCTGATTATGGATTTTTGAGATGTTTTGTATTCGTGTAAAGTTTGTTGAAAAAATTATAAAAATATTTCATAACACATTTAGAATAGTATTGATGTTTTGTTTTGTTCATAATTGTGTCATGAACCCATGACTATATGTAAATATTAGTTTTAAGGAATTTGTATTATTAGAAAGTAAAAGTAAATAATAGATTATTATTAAATGCATTAGAAAGCATAACACTAGAAGCATTGTTAATTGATTATTATTTCTAATAAAAAGGGACCTGACCACTCACTCGGTGGACAGTGTACAATCGATGAATGTTACATTATAGTTATTATTTTGACTCTTTTCGATTACACTCATCCGCGTGGGAAAATTGGACGTAGAAAACCCAGTTTACCACATATTATTTGGCATCCCTGGTAAATTCGTTCAATTGGACATCTCGTATCATTTGGCAACCTTTAAAAAATTGGCTCAATTGGACACATCATACTATTTGGAATCTCCGGCAAATTCGTTTAGTTGGACACCACAAGAAATTGGCAAATTATTGAAACCATCTCAAGAGATCTAACATCGGCACTTTCAACAATAATTGAAAAAAGAAATATTTGTTTTTCGTGGCTCTTTTCTGGTAAATACAATTATTGTAGTATAGTTATTTTAGTTTAAGCAATAAATAGAATAAGTTTTTACTTTGCTATTGGTAAAATTTCTTTAAAAATTTTTTTTTTTACGAACCTTACAAAAAAAATTAACAAAAAATAATGGCTACACAAAATAATTTTTCTATTTACGAATTAGCTCAATTAATAGGCGAACCTTTTGAAGGCAAATCTAATACATTAAATAATTTCATAAATGCTGTAAATGATGCTTATATTATGGATACGGCTGAACAGCATAGACAACTGTTTTTAGCCATTAAGCTGAAAATTAAAGGCAAAGCTAGAGAATTAATTGACTCTGTAGAAATAAAAGACTGGTCGGAACTTAAAATCCTTCTTAATGAAAATTATGGAGAAGAAATTCGTCCAGATCAACTTTGTGTTGAATTACAAACCATTAAACAGAATAAAAATGAAAAAATTAACGATTTTGGCGATAGAGTAGAAAAATTAGAATTTAAACTTTATCAAGCTTATACTTACAAATTAACTTGTAAAATAAAAAAATCAGCCATTAGGGATATGTGTGAAGATCAGGCCTTAGGCTCATTTAAAAGAGGTCTTCACAATAACCAAATTAAAATTATCATGTTAGCTAATAATCCGAAAACCTTAAGTGATGCAATCGCAATTACTAAACAAGAAGAATTAAGGCTTAATACTGAAAATAATTTAGTTAAGTATTCTTTTAATTAAAATAATCCTAATAACTCTTGTAAAATTTGCCATAAAAATTATCATAGTACATCAAGTTGTTTTTTTCGTAATAATAACAATACAAATAATTCTCAAAATACTCAGAAATTTAATAATAACTCTAATAAATTTAGTAATAATAAAAATAACAATAAAAAATTTTGCACTTATTGCAAGAAAAATTTTCATACTCGAGATGAATGTTATAAATTAAAAAGTTCTAATAAGAATGAACCTAGTACTAGTAAAAATTTTAATTTTAATGATTCTAAACAAATATCTTCCGTAAATACATCTCAAAATGATATACCTTATTGCAAAATTTTTTCATCAGATTTGAATAAAAATGTTACATTTATGATTGATAGCGGAGCACAAGCTAGTTAAATTAAAATAGGAGACTTACCTAAAGGACATAGGTATTGGGATAATTCTCTTACCACGTTAGAAGGTATTGCTGGTAATACAAACAGTCTAGGTTATACTAAAATCAATTTAAAAATAGGATATAAAACAATAACACATGTATTTTACATAGTTTCAAACAATTTTAACATTAAGTCTCATGGTATTCTTGGGTACGATTTTTTTAATGAATATGTTAAAATTATTGATTTAGGTAAAAAAGAATTAAAATTCTATTTTCACGAAAAAATTGACATAATAGACCTTTCTCTTACTAATAATTACTCGATTAAAGGCTTGTCAGAATCTATCATTAAAGTAAAAACTGTTCACACTAATGACACGACCGGTATTATACAGGGTGTTCAGTAAGTCAGGAAACGGGTTTCTATTGTTCTCATTGTTACAAACAATGACTTACTGAACACCCTGTATATGATCCAATAGTAATTAACGAAAACATTTTCATTGGAACTTGTATAACGCAAATTAAAAACAATTATACATTTGTACCGATTTTAAATACATCAGAAGAAGACGTTTCAATTTCTATTAATAATATTAAATTTGATTCTCTACCACAAAATTTCGAGCTTATAAATGTAAATACTACCAATTGTAATAATGTTAATAACAATAATAATAATAATAGATTAGCTCTTTTAAATCAAAACCTTAGGTTGGATCATTTAAATGACGAAGAAAAATCGTCTATGCAATCAATTTAATGATATATTTTTCTTACCGGGTGATAAACTCTCTTACACTAATCAAACCGTACATAAAATTATTACACCTAACGCTCATCCAATCAATATAAAACAATACCGATACCCCAACTGTCACAAAGAAGAAGTTGATAGACAATTAAAAAATCTTTTAGATCAAGGTATCATTGAAAAGTCAAATAGTCCTTGGAACTCACCTTTATGGGTGGTCCCCAAAAAATCAGACGCATCAGGTAAAAAGAAATGGCGTATAGTTGTAGATTTTGAAAATATTATAATTACCCAATCCTTAGTTGAGAATAATATTATATCTCTAGATAAAACCATAAGTAAATTAATTTTAGCCATTATTTTTTCTCAGAGGAATCAATTACATCCTATAGTAATAAAACCAGAACAATTTTTAAACGAGATAAACCATATTTTAACTAAACTACCTAATAACCTTCAAGTACCAATAAATGTAAACCTTGATAACATTAACCAAATGTTTAAAATTTTAGAAATTAAAACTATATATAATAATGATAAACTAATTTTTAAATTTAAGTTACCGTTAAGTAGTATTAATAATTATATAATTTATCACATTGTACCAATATTTATTCATTTTAATAATCAAAACCAATTTATTCATCTTACAAAAAATGTCGAATATCTTTTTACGGATAATCTAATATCGCACTATATCAAATTCGACAGCCTTAGTAATTGTCAATTATTAAATAATGTGTTTGTTTGCAAAAGTGACGCGTTCTTTTCCGGTACAGACAAGGTCCCTATATGCGAAACGGACTTATTAAATAATAAATATAGCCTGCCGTCGACTTGTGATGTTTATATATCACAACTTAGCTCGGAAAGTTGGTATTACTCCTACTTCCCAAATAATTGGTATTTTGTCATGGTAAAGGATACCGTAGTAACTATATCATGCAATGCACACACTATAGTTGAAAAAATAATTATAAATAAAAGTGGAAGGCTATCCCTAAAAGAGAACTGCATGGCAATAACACCATCAGTTACTCTTGAGGCTACTCAGTCTCAATTAGAATCAAAATTTGAGTCGATACCTTTGGAGTTTAGTCTATTGGACTCAAGTTGTTGCAATTATATACATAATAGAATTGCACAAAAACCCATACACCTCGAAAGAATGGAAAATGTGAAACACGACCAGGCAGCCCTTAATAAATTAATTGAACAATTATCTTACCAAGAACGCATCGTCGACTTATTAGCAAACAAACACGTTTACGAATTTTATAACGATAATAAGTTTATAATAAATTTACTTTTTAAAACCTTCGGATTACTATTAGTGGTAGTAATTGTATATATTTTTATAAAATATTGTAAGAAAAAACCCGTTAATAACCAACCCACAATAGAATTAGAACCTTTAAACTTAGAAGAAAATCCAATTGTAAATAGACAAGAACGATTTATTTATAATACTAGATTTAGACGTAGGTTATTAGAAAATTTAACATAAAATTATCTGTATTTTAATTAAATATAATAAATAATATATTTTAAAATTGTAAGAAATAATATCTGAAGATATTATTTCTCTTTAAGGGTGATGGTGTCATGAACCCATGACTATATGTAAATATTAGTTTTAAGGAATTTGTATTATTAGAAAGTAAAAGTAAATAATAGATTATTATTAATTGCATTAGAAAGTATAACACTAGAAGCATTGTTAATTGATTATTATTATTGATTGTTGATATCAGAATGTGTTGATTATACAGTGATAAATTGTCAGATGATAATAGTGTTTAGTCATGATAGTTTGGAGGTTAAGTCCTCCAGAGTGAATATTTTAACTATAAAAAGCTATTAAATAAAATAATAACACAAGAAATATTCGAACTAACGCCAAAGGCGTAATAGGCGCTTTATTCGTATAAAATAATTATTAACAAATTGAAATAAACGCATTCGTCGGTAAAACAAAAGGACGTACAAAATTATAAAAGGTAACGCGACAAATTAATTTACCTCAGAGATCGAACGGTGACTGTCTAGAAGGGAGGACGGTTAATTTAAAAATCACATTTAATAAGGTACACAGGTAGGGACGATTACATAATCAAAACTCGCGACGAATACCAACAATGTTTAACAAAATACAAAATACAATAAAATAATCACGCGACATAAAAACGGTAACACTGAAGATGACTAGCTGCTGATAGTGGTGGGGGTCGCCACAATAGAATGGTTAAANGTACAGACAAGGTCCCTATATGCGAAACGGACTTATTAAATAATAAATATAGCCTGCCGTCGACTTGTGATGTTTATATATCACAACTTAGCTCGGAAAGTTGGTATCACTCCTACTTCCCAAATAATTGGTATTTTGTCATGGTAAAGGATACCGTAGTAACTATATCATGCAATGCACACACTATAGTTGAAAAAATAATTATAAATAAAAGTGGAATGCTATCCCTAAAAGAGAACTGCATGGCAATAACACCATCAGTTACTCTTGAGGCTACTCAGTCTCAATTAGAATCAAAATTTGAGTCGATACCTTTGGAGTTTAGTCTATTGGACTCAAGTTGTTGCAATTATATACATAATAGAATTGCACAAAAACCCATACACCTCGAAAGAATGGAAAATGTGAAACACGACCAGGCAGCCCTTAATAAATTAAATGAACAATTATCTTACCAAGAACGCATCGTCGACTTATTAGCAAACAAACATGTTTACGAATTTTATAACGATAATAAGTTTATAATAAATTTACTTTTTAAAACCTTCGGATTACTATTAGTGGTAGTAATTGTATATATTTATATAAAATATTGTAAGAAAAAACCCGTTAATAACCAACCCACAATAGAATTAGAACCTTTAAACTTAGAAGAAAATCCAATTGTAAATAGACAAGAACGATTTATTTATAATACTAGATTTAGACGTAGGTTATTAGAAAATTTAACATAAAATTATCTGTATTTTAATTAAATATAATAAATAATATATTTTAAAATTGTAAGAAATAATATCTGAAGATATTATTTCTCTTTAAGGGTGATGGTGTCATGAACCCATGACTATATGTAAATATTAGTTTTAAGGAATTTGTATTATTAGAAAGTAAAAGTAAATAATAGATTATTATTAATTGCATTAGAAAGTATAACACTAGAAGCATTGTTAATTGATTATTATTATTGATTGTTGATATCAGAATGTGTTGATTATACAGTGATAAATTGTCAGATGATAATAGTGTTTAGTCATGATAGTTTGGAGGTTAAGTCCTCCAGAGTGAATATTTTAACTATAAAAAGCTATTAAATAAAATAATAACACAAGAAATATTCGAACTAACGCCAAAGGCGTAATAGGCGCTTTATTCGTATAAAATAATTATTAACAAATTGAAATAAACGCATTCGTCGGTAAAACAAAAGGACGTACAAAATTATAAAAGGTAACGCGACAAATTAATTTACCTCAGAGATCGAACGGTGACTGTCTAGAAGGGAGGACGGTTAATTTAAAAATCACATTTAATAAGGTACACAGGTAGGGACGATTACATAATCAAAACTCGCGACGAATACCAACAATGTTTAACAAAATACAAAATACAATAAAATAATCACGCGACATAAAAACGGTAACACTGAAGATGACTAGCTGCTGATAGTGGTGGGGGTCGCCACAATAGAATGGTTAAAAGAGCCGATCCATGTTTTAAAATTTCGACTTTCGTTGACACTATTTGTAACGGCCCTGATAACATCACTACCAAGTGAAAGAAAATAATAAATAATATTTGTTGCCTTAATATGTTATCTCAAAAAATAATGATAAGAGATTAATTATTATTTTTCATTACAATACATTTTTCTAAGTAAAAAACTACTAGTAAAACGAATAAAGTAATCAATTAATTATAAATATTGTTTACTCATTTATCAGTGGCCATTCAATTTATAATTTTAAAAATTAATTCTGATAATACTTAGTTATTATTCAGAATAAATTAATGTAAGTCATTACAATTTTTTAATATTAATAAGTTAAGTTTACAATAGAAAAACTGAGTTTGTTTATAGCTAAATGTGTTTAATATATATTGTTTAAGAATGTTGATTGGAAGTTTTTTTACTCTATAGCTAACAATTATTAATAGTTTGAAAAAACTTATTAAATGTTTAGGTTTCAGTTAAAACCTATGTTATTGAAAAATGATAATAATGTCTACTGATTGTGATGTTGAATCATCTTTAGTGTATAGGTATTTATTATCCTTAATTATTCAAATTATGTATAATAATATTTTTTTGTTGTAAAATATAAAATATTTATTTTCAGAGGGGCGTTTTTTTGGAGTTGGCTTCCCAAAAGTGCAATGTCTTGGAAATTTTTAAAGGAAGCTGAGCAAAAATTATTGTCTTGTGTGTACTATTAATAAATTCTTTATTGCATGTCATGTACACTAGTGTATTAAACTACTCATAAATAACATAAGGAATATATATATTTATCATTTATGAGTTATAGTAAATCAATCACCTTGTATTTAAACATACATATATCAGGGTAATTTGATCAAGTTGGTAATGCAGTAGTGCCTTTTCATTGTTATGGGCCATATGAGCGTTAAAAAGAATACATGTATATATGTGCTCTTATGGCCCATACCAATGAAGAGGCACTACTGCATTACATTCTTGATCAAATCAATCTGATATATGTATGTTTATATATAGGGTGATTGATTTACTATACCTCATAAATGATAAAAGATGCAAAAACATTACAGTTTATGATACAAAATCATTTTTAATGAAAAGAAATAAAATGTACCTAAGTTTTTCTCATTTCCCATCATGGTACAATAAACCAGTAGTTCTTATCACACACCAAATATTTATGTTACTGTATTTATCCGACTACTATTTTATTTATTAAATCCCCTACAATTAAAATAGTGTTATCTTGTAGCTCAACAAAGATTTGTAACAAATAAAATAATTACATGTATAACAGCACTAATATTTTTAAAGATAATTCATGAGAGATAGTTAGTTAAACATCTTGTAAAGAAAGTTACCACATAATCAATAAAATAAAAATAATAATAATAAGTTTTTTATTTGTTTCTTTTAGTTTAATGTTTCTCTTAATATTTCAATCATAAAGCTTTTTATATTCTCATTCCTTAAAACCATGTGGTAAAGGATTTCAACTTTTGGACAATTATTTAGGAAGTTGTTGACATATTCATATCTAGGTGAGAGGAAGAGTATGGTCAAAAAATGTCTACTTATATAAATAGCAGCACGTTCTCTTCACCTTCAATCATTACTTTAAATTGTTAAAAATTTCTAAAAATAGTTATCAACCAGTCATTTTTTTAATTAGATCATTATTGTATAAATAAGCTAGTTAATTATGTGTGTTGCTATTTAAAAAATTAAAGTAAACATCCTTACAAGATATAAGGGCTAAACATTAAAAAAATTGAGAAAACATTGAAATAAAAAATTATTAATATTATTTTTATTTTACGATTAATTGAGTGATTCATGATAAGTGAATTACTCTGTATATACTGGGGTCCCACTGTGATTTATTAATTTGACTATATAAACTGACATTAAATAATGGAGGGACACACTATATATATATATTATTAAATAAATTGTCTTAAAAGGGTATAAACTAAGTATAAATTGAGAGTATAAACACAATAAGTGTTAATTTAAAAAATATATGTTAATTATATAAGTTCTATTATTCTTTTTTTAATTGTAACATAAACCACTCAAATTAGAAGTTTTTTATTTGTAAATTTTTATTATAAATTATTCCTTTTTGTCATTCTTCAAATTACATTATTTATGTATACAAATTTAATAATTTTTAAAAGAATAAATATATTTTAGATGTAAAATCTCCATACAGAACAAGATATGTTGACTTAGGTCCTATAGTTGAACATGATGAAAAAATATGGACAATAGAAATTAATAGTGATAAACAAAAAAGTCCTTTAGTCCTTTTACATGGATTTGGTGCTGGTATTGCATTATGGTGTATGAATTTTGATGGACTATCTAATAATAGTCGACCTGTGTATGCAATGGACTTATTGGGATTTGGTCGTAGCTCAAGACCTCAGTTTAGTTCAAATAGTGAAAAAATTGAAAAACAATTTGTAAATTCTATTGAAAAATGGAGAACAGAAATGAAAATAGAAAAATGCATTTTATTAGGACATAGTTTTGGTGGATATTTAGCTACTGCATACACATTACAATACCCAGAAAGGTACTGTACATAATTAATAAAAAAATAATTATAAAGTTACTTAGATTACTAATAGTTTTATTTGTTACTTAAATTCAAGTTAAACATTTTACTATTAATCAAAACTTAGTTTATTGTAATGTAACCTAATATTGATTTTATGTATTGAAACAAAATATATTACGTATTTAGGTTACCCCTCCAATGTTAAAATATTGACTAAAACTAAAGTTATTTGTTTGGTAGAAAAATGTTTTTTTTTTAACTGTCATATGAAAATAATAACTTGGTTTAATCTCTCTCTCAGAAATTTATTTGAGCTATGACCTTGGAACAAAAACATATCTTTGAATTAACAACTGATTTTGTATCCAAAAATTTAATATTCTTTTAAAAAAATACTTCAGGACTTTAATACAACAGTGTGAATAGTGCAGATACTAAATTTTATGTGTATAATATAATTAAATAGTATTTACAGCTAAAAATTTTTTATTCATCATTTATTTAAAGGTTTTTTTTTCACAAAATATAGAAATTTATTTCGATAAATATATCACTGTATATACCACCCATCTTATACATGTATTTCGACCACAATACAAATTTCAGTCTTAGTATTAAAATCAGTATTTTTTGATATTTAACAATGTCAAAATAGTGAAGTGCCTTTTATTGCCAAAACATTTCTAGCTATAATTAAAGACCAGATAAATATTCTGTTAAAAAATTTGAAATATAATGCTTATCTTCTATAAAAATAAAATTTTTATTAAAAATATTCATTGTTTACCTAAAAACCTTATATATGATGATATTATAGTGTATAAACTTGCAAACATATATTCATTATTTTAACACCATTTAAATTATTTTCAAAAAAATATTCATTACACTTATATGAGAATAAACAAAAAACTCATTTTTACTTCAATTTTTTGCTTTCAAGTTTGAGAAATTTATTTTTTGAATGAATCTTCTATAGTTAATAAAATTTTCCACATTTCTTATTTCCGTATGACTGTATACACTCAGTATCTATATGAAGAACGTTTAAAATTTGGTTTTTAGTTATAGGATATTCAATAATATATGTACATTTGTACATATATTATTTATATTATTATATATGTAGAAAAATTTATTTTGAATTTTTAAGGTCTTAGAGTATTTTTGGGAGTACTGTATAGGTGTGCTATAAAGCTCTCCTTACATCATCTATGTGAATATACTTGTATATCATTTATTATGAAATGTATGCGTTTTTAAAAAATTTCTGAAATTAAAATATTAAATTTTTACTGCGTTAATAATGTTGTATTATTCATATAATCATGCTTAAGAACTTCCACTGAAAAAATTCTCTACTTTTTATGATTAGTAGTTAGTCTCTGGCAAAAGCGAATTTCCCAGAGGTGCTGCAATTTCAACATTGGCTGTTTCATTTAGTTATGATAATTTACATTTTTTCGAATTTCTTTTTAAATAATGAGTTTTCTATACTTGTAAAACAAATAAAATAGGTGGCCAGGGTGAAAATTTAGTTAATTTTCAGGCATGCTATTAGTTCTTGTTATGATTATAGTTTTAATAAAGACAATAACAAGTTTTTTTTTTTCTTAAATATTTTCCTTTAAATTACCTGTTTGAAGTAAGTACACTCTAGCGTAAAGATATGTGACACACAAAATTATTTTTAATTTTAGTTTACTTGATTAATTAGCTTATTATATTAACAAAGAAAAAGTTAAATTAAATTGGATGTATGTCTTTTTGCAACTAGGCAACATCTTTAAAACCTTTTTTCTTTAGTACATTTTCTTCACTACCCAACCCAACCTGTATCATTAGCAGACTTGAATGAAAGGTGAGCCATGTTCATTGGGTTCACAAGGAATATGGACTTATAAAGAGTAATAACCTAGTCTTCTATTTCACCTAATTGGTAAAATAATTTTGAAAAATTCAAAGATTACTATGATTATTACATTTTTTACAGGTTTGGTCATGATATGAGGAGAGAGAAATCGGAAGCGGTAAGCACAGTTATAGAAATGAATATTGAAGGAAGAAGAGATGAAGGAATGTAATTGAATGTGGTATGAGGACGGCTGTTGTGAGCGTAGATGATGTGGATGATCGTGTTAAATAGAACTTTAGGATAAGGGTGGCCGACCCCAAGTAGTTGTAATTAAAGAGAGGAAAAAGAAGAAGATTACATTTTTTACAACATTTTTTAGCTTCGATGCGAAACTGAGAAGGTATCAATTTTACTATGATGTGTTTTTTTTGTGTTTGTTACCATTTTTTCTCACCAAAGCGATTTCTTCCAACAATACGTCAAAAGATGACAAATCGTATATAGTTAAAGACATTACCCTCAAAATTTGAAAATAATTCCCTCGTTCCCCGCAAATGGGGGAAATATCCAAAAAAAATTACAAATTTAAAAATCGCAACTTTTTTACAAAAACTAACTTTTTTAACTTAATTTTTGAAAATGTTCCGAATGTTCCTAAATGTTCCGAAAATACTGCGTCCTTTAAACATATATGAAATTAAAGCTTATTTTATGTACTATAAAATGAAAAAAAAATTTTGTCCCGACGACCTATCTTCTATACGCAAATGGCTACCGTATTCAAAAATATGCTATTTTTCTATTAAAATTCTAGGTTTTGTATTTTATTTTATTTTAAAATATCTTATTAGGAGAATACATGGTGAAAATAGCTACCGTATTTAAAAATATGCTATTATTGTGTTAAAATTCTTGGTTTTTTATTTTATTATAAGGGGATTACACTGATTTTCATAAATATGATATCAATCTAAATGACATAGTATAAAAAATTAATCATATTTAAATTTTTTTGTTTCTTTGAAGTCGAGAAAAATAACTTTAAAATTTGAACTAGCTAAATTTCCATTTTTATTAAGTGACGAATGCGACGAACGGTTTCTGAGACGGTAACACTTGGGTCTTTCATGCCTGTGGCACTGAATTTTTTTTTAATTCTTTTTGAGTTAAAAAAAATGTTTAACTCATTTGATTTTTATCTAATTTAAATTCAATAACTTAAATTCAATAAATATCAAGGATTCCATTATTGTAGTCTTCTCTCGTGAGAAGAAATTCATATTAATATTATTTTACTATGTGGTTTTTTTTTTGTAGCTATCATTTATTTTCTCAGCTCTCATTTGACCTACTTTTTTGACAAATTTTTTTTTTAAATTAAACACTATCTACAGATTTGAATTGAAGCGTTTTTTATGATAGTGATTTTAATCACTGTCAGATATCATCTATACTGGACCCAACTATGCCACGACCCCACTGTGCAGGGTTTTTTTTTATTGATGATTTTGTTTAGTGCTATTATACCATAAAAGAAAATAATTGTATCTTAGTTCATTTAATTTTTATACATTTTTTATATTTTAAATTATGTTTTATATGCTAAAACATGTAATGGAAAACCAAAGCCTTTTAAATAACCAATACTGAGATTTAGTATTTGTTAATTTTTTTTTTTTTTTGTAGTTAATGCAATATCTTGATTTATATGAATCTAAAATTAATTGCAGTTTAAAAAATTTCTGCTGAACAACCATTGTTAAAAAAATAACAATTAAGTTACCTTCCCTGAAAAGCTGTATTTTAGCATAATTCATTTTATGACTACAGTATAAAATCATTCTAATACAGAATACAATTGCATAAGTTATAATAATATAATTATATAATAGCTAATTAATTATATAATTCGATTATAATATATTTAGAGTTCAACATTTGATTCTTGTTGATCCTTGGGGATTTCCCGAAGAAAGAAAAAATCACCATAAAAATGTACCTTGGTGGGTTAAAGGAATATTTTATGTTATTAAACCGCTGAATCCATTGTGGCCTGTAAGATTTGCCGGACCTTTTGGTAAATTCATTATTTTAATAAACAATTGAAACAAAAAGACAAATTATAATATAGTACACTCATTGTTATTTCAAGGGACATGCTATTTTAGGTCTTATTATAATCAATACATGTTTGAGGCATTGTATAGTAATATTTTAAAAAAGAAAACAAATGTGAAAACTTATGAAATTAAAAAATATATAATAAAATTAGCGGGGAAAAAATTGTTTAAATACTATTTAAATTCTTCTGAAATATAAATATTTAAAAAAGAATTTAATTTCAATAAAAAAAATTGTAATCCTTTATTTAGATATTGTACAACAATGAGTATAGTATGTTCTTTGCAAATATTAATAGTAGTAGTAATATTAAACATATTTTAATTAAATAAATAAATTTATAATATAATTTATAGGTAACTGGATTGTTGCAAATTTACGATCTGATATATTAATGAAATATGAACCCATTCTTGGAGACAAAACATCTATTATTGGAGATTATATTTACCAATGTAATTCTCAACGTCCAACGTAAGTATATATTCTTATAACAAGTATATTTTAAATAATTTTGTGTGCTGATGCTGTAGAGTAATAAGGATTTTGTTCTAAAGGAATATATAGGGTGTTTAGTAAGTAAGGAAATGGGTTTCTATTATAATCATTATTTGTAACAACGGGTCTGTTGAATCTTTACTATGAAATTTTTTTTTCTAGAGAGGGGATCAATTCTTTAACCACCCTTATTTATGCACTTGATCAGTTGTGATAAAAATTAATTATAAAGGTGATAGCTTAGTTGTTCTAAAACAGAACTTGGTATACATGAACTCAAGGGTGTAACTAGAAATTTGAGTTGACAGGGAAAAACGTTTTCACCATTTTTTAAAACCTTTTTAATATTGCATTAAATCCTAGGTATGTAATTTTAAGCAAATAAATGATGACATTTGTTTTTTTTCCTTAAATGAGGAGCCTGCCTTTATTTGCAGAACTTCAATAATTGGCATTTTTTTTTTGCTTTAATATAAAAAAAAGCCACTATAAAAATACCACTACTATGTCATACCAAAACATTTATATTGAATATTTTTATGTTTATATTGTTTTTACATTTTTTTAATCTGTGTGTTATAAGTTCTTTTTTAGAGTTTTAAGTTCTGTACCTTATTTATTTGCTTTTGTTATCGTAATTAAATAGACTAATTATAATCAGAATTCTAAGTTATGCATTTAACAAATGAAAATAGTTTAAGCCATAAAAGTAATTCCTCATATCCCATATAACCGTGAATATTTTTAAAAAATATTTGAATGGGCTAGCGAATAGTTTCAAAAAATATTCAATTAGTTCTATCTAAAATTTTTATTAAGTACACTTAATTATAATAAGAAGATAATTAACGAATACTTAAAATAAATTATTATACAATTAATAATAGTAAAAAGTATCATTTTATTTATTTTTAGTTTGTGAGTCGTTGGTAAAAACTAATAAATATGGGTCAATTCAGTATTAAATTCGTTTTAGGTTCATCCCTTATTTCTTTTAAGTGTATCAACTTTATTTTTTCAAATGGCAATATACATAATTAACTAACTTATAGGTTAGATAATAATATTATTAATAAAATGACTAATCAATAACAACTTCTGGACTAGTATTTCAGAAGTTATAGCATTTTAAAAAATGAACTGGGGTGAATTGGAGGTATATATTAGGATAGCTCTTATTTTATTAACTTTCGTTGATCGATCTCCAATTTTGTTATTTATTATATGAAAGTTATTTGTGTAAAATTTAGTTTTGATAATTTATCCCCTTCAGGTCCAAAATAGAGTAGAAAATTCGCTCAATAAGGTAATTTTTCATTTTTAAATTATTATTTTTAAAACTAACACACTTAGCATAACAATGTATAGAATATAAATTATAAATTTTAATATTTTCTTCTAAAATGGTATTTACAAAAATTTTCTAAAATTATTTTTACTTGCCCAAAAAAATAAAATAAAAAAATAATTTGCTAAAATTCATTTTTTGAATATAAATCATTCTTAATTTTCGAAATAATCATTTTACAACAAATGTTTCGTAAAAAAAAATATGTTAAGTTAAATTTTCTAAAATTTTGGTCATATGTAAAATTATAGTCAGATTTATAATTTTGCTGTTTTAATAAAACTAACGATCTAAATAGGATTGTTTAAAACTATTTATTCAGGGTACTACGATTATAATAGGATACAATTAATAATAAAAAAAAATATTCGAAAATGCCCATCACTAATAAATACAGTGCTTTTAATTCTAGTAATCATAATATAATTTAATAAAAATAACATCTTTTTATCTTTTAATCAAAAAATTATTTTACTAAGTTTTGTAATGTGTATATTAAAACTGATTATGCAAAATGTCAAGAGGATGTAAATTTCTTTATCCTCCTTCTGTCCATGCATGTTAAATCCCATAGGGTAACAAATTTTAAAGGATTTCAAAAATGTATAAATCACTTTGTTTCAATATTTAGTTACTTTGCACTCATTATTATTATAATGGTGGTGATTGTTATCTTAATTAACATAGTTTTAAAAAATGTATAAATAGAAAAAAATTATTGAAAGTCAGGAAGTGGTTGTTGTAAAGATAAAAAGATTTAATATATTTTATACAAAATTTTTGCTCTGACTGTAAGTTAAGTTATATGTTAATTAATATTTTTAATTAGTTCAAATCTCCAACTCATGCCAAAAATCCAAACATTTTTGTAATAATAATTTAATTGAACCTACAATTTTTTTTGTATTTCAATACCTCATCACAGTATTTAATGTTTGAGTTACTACCTTATTAGTGATCATGCTGAAATGTTCTTATATTAATTCACTGGTTTTATGAGTGGTTAGATATCCTTTGACTTTATATTAAATATAAAAGCTGTACTTGAGAAATTTTTTTCATTATTTACAATTAAAAAATTAAGAAATATTTTTATCTAGATACAAGTGAATAATTAATAGGTGTAAAAATATTTGACATTTAATTATATGTATGTTTATAAAAAAAATTTTAGAGGTGAAAGTGCATTTCATCATTTATTGAAAGGTTTTGGTTGGGCTAAAAATCCTATGATAAAACGTTTTCACGACATACACAATGAAGTACCAATCACATTTATATATGGCCAAGATACATGGATGGATCAAAGTATTGCAGATGTGGTTAAAAAAGAAAGATTGAATGGTGTTGTAAATATTGAAGTGGGTTCAAAAATACTTTAAATACTTAACTATAATTATTAATCTCTAAAATATTGAAATCTAAGGAACATAACCCAAAGCTCTTTTTATATAACTAAAATGGGGAATACATAACAAGTTATAAATTAAATTAAATTTTTTTTCATTATTCTATTTTAGACTTGGAAGGCTGTTTCAAAGTCTGATTTAATAGTTCTCTTTAATTACTAATTTTATTAAAACATTTATTTTTTTCTAATTACCTTAGTAGAATTTTTCTAGTTTAAATATATTTTCACATCCAAGGTAAACATAACATTTTTCAAAAGACTCATTTAAAGTTTTAAACAATGTATTTTTTTTATACATTTCTTTAAATTTTATTTCTAACTCAATTTATAAAAAAAATCTGATTTATAGGAATATTAAGAAAAATATCTGAATATGTGATAATCAAGAAAATGAAAAATATGTAGTTATGATCATTTTTATTGGAGGTGGCAAAATTAATGAATGAGTTATGATAAACACCTCTTTAATTATTATAGTAAAATTATATAGGTGTTCAGTAAGTAAAGAAACAGGTCAATTGCTACATACAATAAGAAAAATAGAAACCTGTTTCCATACTTATTGAACACCTATATATTCAATGTTCGTTTTTATTTTATGATTAATATATTTAAAATTTTTGATTTTATTTAGAAAATTCCTAATGCTGGTCATCATGTTTTTGCTGATCAGTATGAAAAATTTAATGACATAGTAAATAAAGTTTGTCAAGAATAAATTATATTAGAGGATCATGTCTAACTATTACACCAATAATTGTTACTTCAATGTTATCTATATATCTTTATTTTTATTGTTTAATACATAAATTTAAAAAAAATATAATGTTATTTATGCAATTTTACTTAAATCCATATCATCATCATCAGATTCTATAGGTTTTACTTGACTCATAAGAAGAAATTTGTCAATTCTATCTGTAGAATCTTCATCCATATAGGTACTATATGGTTCCAATGTTCCACTTTTTCTTTTAATCATACGTTCAGTGATTGTTTCCAATCTTCCTTTTAATTTGAATATTTTTGCCACCATACTAAAACTTCTTAAACTTACATCATCAAAGGATTTCAATTTGTATAAAGGTTCATGTAAGGTTGGATCTCTTATAACGCGTATTCTATTAACAGTTATTATGGAACTTAACCATTGTAATGCATCTAAGTGTGTGTTTGGATCATTTACTAAGTCAACTAATTTAGGTATTAATATTCTTATTTCTTCAAGTTGTAACTTGGATGACACTTCAGTAATTGATTGGCCAGGAAGAATCTTCGGCAATATATCCATATCAAAAAATAAAGTAGTAACATTCATAATAGTCATAATTAAGATTATATATAATTACTTATCATTTTTTTATAGTATAGTTTACATAAAAATAATTCTCCTTGAGGATCCTTAATAATGAACATCTAACGATTTCAAAGAATTACACTACTGTATCATGTTTATAATTCAATATATTAGTTATCTTATCAATTCAATATAACCTAAAATAATCGCGACTGGAAGTTAGCACTTTCTATCAGATACAGCTAAAATATATACCGCTAGAGGGCGTCACTTAGTTCAAAAAAATGTTACATTATATTGTACTTTTAGCAAAGTTCCGAGGGGTGTTCACTTAAAAACTATATTCCAAATAAAAGCTCATTAAATTTCTTATCTAGTGATATAGAACCCAAAAGGTGCTCGAATGTACAAATAACCCACATAATAGAAATTGCCAGGTCGTAAACAATACATATTCTACAACCGGCACTTTGTTTTTTAGTATTTTTGACTTAATTCTAAGACGAGTCCAGACAATAATTAAATACCAACGAAAAGCTTATAAATTTTCCTATTGAATGGCATAAGTCCCAAAGAGTACTTGAGTGTCCAAGTAAACCATATGAAAGAAATTGCTCGGCAATATCTACGATCGTGAACAATATATATTCTCCGATCGGCGCTCGATTTTTTGTACTTTTGACAACCCTTTGTGACTTATGCCATTCGATGGGAAAATTTATAAGCTTTTCGTTGGTATTTAATTATTAAGTGAACACACCACGGAACTTTGTCAAAAGTACAATATATTATAACATTTTTTTTTAACTAAGTTTCGTCTTCTAGGNGTCGTAAACAATACATATTCTACAACCGGCACTTTGTTTTTTAGTATTTTTGACTTAATTCTAAGACGAGTCCAGACAATAATTAAATACCAACGAAAAGCTTATAAATTTTCCTATTGAATGGCATAAGTCCCAAAGAGTACTTGAGTGTCCAAGTAAACCATATGAAAGAAATTGCTCGGCAATATCTACGATCGTGAACAATATATATTCTCCGATCGGCGCTCGGTTTTTTGTACTTTTGACAACCCTTTGTGACTTATGCCATTCGATGGGAACTTTATAAGTTTTTCGTTGGTATTTAATTATTAAGTGAATACACCACGGAACTTTGTCAAAAGTACAATATATTATAACATTTTTTTTAAACTAAGTTTTGTCTTCTAGCGGTGTATATTCTAATTGTATCAGATTAGAAATTGCTATAAAAGGAATTGCTAACTTCCAGTGTCGTACACAGAAATTAAATTTGGGGGGTTTTTTTGAAATTTAAAGAAAATTAGATGTGACACTGCCCATATTGTTCGCTTACAAAAATTCCTGTTTTCGATTACTTTATTGTGGAAATATTTATAGTATGATATGATCTTTTTTATAGTTATTACTTATTGTTTATGGTTCAAAATTGTCGCTTAGCTTATAAATTTGGGGGGGGGTTAATTCCCAAAACCCCCCTTTGCGTACGCCAGTGCTAACTTCATACACATAAATAATTTATTGTATATTTTACTCGAGTATACTACAGTTGTCCTACCTTAATAAAAGAAGTTGTTTAACAATTATTCAAATATTAAAAGAAGTCTATATTAACTGCTTTATATAAATAATTTATGTAATTAATAATTAAAGTTTTATACTGATCAATTTAAATAAACCCGAGTAGCAATTCGAGTTCATACTGGGTTCATTTAATATAGTAACAACGGTGCTGAACTGAGTTCAAAACCCGTTCACAGCACGGTTCAAAATGAGATTTGAATACGGATTTTAACATGGGGTGAACCGAGTTCTACAAAAGTTCAGTAAGAGTTCAAAGACCGTTCCTCGGTTCAACTATAAAACCCTCGATAACAGTTCAATAATCGTTCATTAGTTCAATAAAAGCAAGCTCTACGACGGTTCATTAATTCATTAGCAGTTACGGTATTTAAAATTAAATTTATAGGTTTTGTAAATATTCAAACATTTTATAATTTTAAAATAATAAATTGTATTACTATATACACAATGTATAAAATAAAATATATTATATGTAAATATAAAATAAAATAGTTAACCTTCGAATTTTAGGTTTATTTTATATTAAATGATAATTAGTAAACAATTCATTCATACAATTTGATTATAATTAATATAAATTAATAACAATAGTTAATTTTAAATAAAAATAATGATGTTAGCAATGTCAGCCATTTATTTACTGTAACTCAGTTTGATTTATTGTTGTACAATATATACCAAAAAAATCCAATAAAAATTTTTTATCATAATAAGTTAATCACTAAGGTGTTATACAGTTTAGACAAGAAATATATAGTTAATATTAGTACAGAAAATTGTGAAATTGCAATAGTTGATATAACAAATAATATTACTGTGGTTATAAAAACAATTAGTAATTTTAATTTAATTTCCATGAAATTGAATAAAAGAAAATCATTGCCATAAGTACAACAAAAGAAGTAAAACATATAAGTAGCATTCAATAAGATGGCATAAGATTACCATGTTTTTTTTTTTCTGTTTTTATTTTGTTTCCTAAATGCTGTATTTTTTTTTCACTATTAATAAAAAAAACTGTGAAATAATCTAAGTGGATAAATTTTAAAAATTATTTACAAAAAAATGAAATGTTGATTGAATAATAAAAAAAAAAAAGGATTTTATTGCTGTGATGCTTTATTACCAGAATGCTTTAAAATATTAGCTATTATTTTGTTAAATGTTCTTTCGTGTTCAGGTATTATGATTTAGCCAGACATAGCATCTATTTGGTGTTGTCACAAAAACTAAAATTTGAGGCCATTTCTCTTGTCATACAAAAATCAAATGCTGTTCTCGTATATGCACTGAAACTTTTAATGGTACCCACTTTAAGCAACAAAACATTTTTCTGGAAAGAAAAAAAAAACAATAACTCATCAATTATAATTAAATATAATATAATAATATAATTAAATTAATATAATTAAGTATAATCAATTATACTTTGCTCCCAAAGAATAATTTTATTTAAAATAATATACCTATAAAAAATTAATAAATTATATAAAAATAATTAACAACTATGCTTTGGGTATAAAAAATTTTATAATTTACTATTATATAATAGTAAATATATTATATTTATTATTTTTTATTATTTTAAATAAAAATATTTTAATACAATAGAGTATAAAGTTTTAAAGTTATTTCATAAATGTCAATAGATATTTATTCAGATTTCTGGAGAAGAAAGAATATAGGGAGTTCAAATATTTTTGTGTAAATGATAAATTATTATTAGTTATTGCACTTCCGGTTAATATGAACTCAATGTTCAAAAATGTTTATTGAGTTATATCAATTTACAATTAAGCGCCAACACATAAAGTTCAGTTAATAAACTATACAGAAATTAACCTTTTAGTGTTACAGTATTCAAATGTTTGATCAAGTACATGGCTATGCTTTGTAAAATATTTATTATACTTATAAAAAAGACATATTTTTTAAATATTGGAAATTAAAAAAGCATGATATCCATCAACATTTATTTATTGTAACTATTTGATATAGTGAAGTAAAATTAACATGATATTTCATAAGAAGTATTTTATTTTGGTTATTATTTAAGTTATAAAATAATTGTGTTTTGGATATTGGGTATTTTAGACAACCTAGGTATATAGATTTCTGTTTTGGGAAACTACTGTGAATAGTTTTATTTATATCTTAAAATTATTTAGGCTACATGTAAGCCTGTTCCTCATAGATTAAAATGTGCCTTTTATAGGTTGATTTGTATAAAAATCTTGTTGATTTAATGGTATAAAGGTTACAAATAATTACAAAAATGAGTCTGATGAAAATCTTGTTTAATGTAAAACCCTGTTAATTGTTAAACGGTGAAAACCTTTATACTTTTCATTTATTTAAAATTTGAATTATTGAAATATAATTTTCATTCAAATAGATGCAATTCTTTTTAACTTAAAATGTTTGATAAATTTAAATTATTGAGTAGTACAATAGAGGGATTTTCATTAAAAATCAACAGTTTTTTAAGAGATGGTATTTCAATGTATACAATTTTGAGAAATATATAAAATGCACCATTTTAAATATTAAAATACAGAAGTAATTTGTATCACATGTATCAATAAATAAGAAGATCTAAAATAAGCTAGAGCTGACCCCAAATAGTTGGGATAAAGGCTTAGGATATGATGATAACGACAATGATATATGATTAAAAACATTTTAAGCTCATGGAAAATCTTGAGGTATCTGTTAATAACTTCATAACAACATAACTAACGATAGTACTTTATTAAAATAAATAATTTTGCATTATAATTATAATTAATCATAATACAAAATGTGAAAATTTAATATATAATTTACCACTTGTATCTATTACAATTACAATAAATGTAGTTACTAAAATGTATGATTATCTTTTAAAAAAATAATATATGCTATTATTAAAATTAATTAAAATAACTATTTATTATTTTAGTCCTAAATTTAAATTAAATGTACTTACATTTTATTGAACTTTTCAGTTAAATATATATGTGAGAGTGAACAGGGATAAAGAGCAGTCTTGACAAGTTATCTAGTCGCTGTGAAAATGGCGAATGTCTCAAAACATAATTTGTAAAGAGAAAAACGATCGTTGATAATTTGAAAAAATGTCACAGTAAAAATTAAATAACAAATAAAAATCGCGCGAACTATAGCTGTTGGTCAACGGTTACTGACACGTCTGGTTATTCCGCCAAAAGTTCGTATGTTAAATTTGCGCTATAGTCTCAATGAAAATAATTTATAACTATTATTTTAAAGTTTTTTTATTAATGTACTAATCAAGGGATAATATGTCTAATAACAATATAAGTGAATAAAACTATTTGAATGGCTATAACCGTTACAACGATTCTTTCATTATAATGAAAGAACTTTGATGAATCCGTACAATTATTTTGAACATTGAACGGTCCCAGCACTTATTAAAAATTGTTCGGTTATTTATTGAACGCTGAACTTTCCTAGAACTTATAAAAAATTACACGGTTCATTATTGAACATTGAACTCTCCCAGCACTCGTGGGTCGCTTGAACCGACCGTGAACCA